AGATATACAAACAGCTGTGGAAGTAAAAGCAACATCTATTAGTGATTTAAACCAAAGGGTTACAAAGAACCAATGTATTTCTTCAAGGTCTATTGCACTGATGGATTCTCGTAAACTCATCCCATCAGGCTCTAAACACGATGATGAGCGAAAGCAAATCAGATCTAGGTTGACCAAAAGTCTAAAGAACGACCGTGAGTAGTGGTGGGCAGCGAAAGCAAAAGAAATGGAAAAGGCGTCGGCTGTAGCTATTGCAAGATAGCTCTACAGACTCATAAAAGAAACTGGAACTAAAAAGTCAGGTGTAAGTGAGACTATCTCGGAAAAACACGACGTTCTTATCTACTCCCAGTCCAGACGTTTAGAACGTTGGGCAGTACACTTTAAGGAGCAGTTCAGCTAGCCTTCAACTACTCTACAAATACCCTCCATTCCCAAACAGGCTGAATGGAACATTGAAGTAGTTCCCTCGACTCTAGTTGAAGTTCAAAAGGCTACAGTAAATCTGAAACGACGAAGGGCAGGTGGTTCAGATGGATTGGCTCCAGAGGTCTTTAAGGATGGTGGTCCAATTTCAACCACTAGGTTGACTAATATTTTAGCTAAAATCTGGGAGTTGGACGTAATCCCATCTGACTGGTCACAATCACTTATCGTCCCAATATATAAGAAAGGGTCAAAGCCATCTTGTGACAACCATAGAAGGATTAGTTTAACTAATGTAGCATCTAAAATACTAGCCTCGATAATTATCGGACGCCTAACTAAGACACATGAACTGCAAACACGAGAGAATCAAGCTGGCTTCAGACCTGGTCGTGGATGCATAGACCACATATTCACCATTTGTCAGGTTCTAGAACACAGGCATGCTTATTGGTGTCTGACAATGGTGGTCTTTCTTAACTTAAAAGCAGCATTTGACTCTATAGACCAAAAGTTTATGTGACAGCGTCTTTCATTGAAAGACGTACATCAGAAGTACGTAAACTTTGTGAAGGCTCTTTACTCGAACACTACTAGTTCACTCAGAGCTTATGGCAAACTGTCATCTGCTTATGTAACCACAAGTGGTGTCCTTCATGCCTGTCCACTTTCTCCATTTTTGTTTAACTTCATTATAGACATACTATTGTCCTGTATGTTCAGTCTTTCCTTTTAATGTGTGGATAATTAACTTTGAAGTGCTGTTGTCTATCATACGTCTAGTTTATTGAAGTCCCTATTTACTTCATTGTATTATTAGAAGTCTCAGTCATTCGTATAAAGAATTATTTGTAGGCCAACTGGCAATTCCAATAAGTTACTTGTTCTTGGATAAAAAATAACATATGAAATATCTGTTGAAAAGAAGCTAATGATTTAAACTAAGATGTCAGTAATGTTTCTACCTTTTGACAAAACAATAATACTATGTAGTAGTGTCAACACACGACCTATTCAGACCTTACTATTGGGGTATTCAGAAAATACCCCAGAAATTATCGAATGCTATTCCTGAATGAGAAATTGTGTCATTTCCCCATTGGTCAATATTCTTCCAACGTGTCATCTCCCTATTGGTCAATATTTATTTGTGTCATTTCCTGAAGGTTAAATCTTGTACAAATGTTACTTTCTATTTATGGTACGATGTAGTCTGTTTTGTTTGGTATATAAACAGTGTATGTTTGAAATATAACGATTCATATCTTCGAGGCTGAGACTTGTGTTCTGGACTCAATTGGCTGGGCTAGACAGGGAAGCAGGACCAATCAGGACTCTAGGCTGCTCGCTTGTATTTTATGCGTCCCTGTTTCGATCGATAATACGCTGCTCTCTAATAGGTGGATCACACGTTCATAACACTTACAACAAAGGATTACCATCAAATCACTGAATTAATATTCAATTTTAATCAATTCAAAGTATTATAAAACCATCACTGATTATCATCATCAACATGACTGAATTTCAATGGTTATAGTTTTTCAATAGAAATCTGTAAATAGCATCACTATTACTTACATAGTTACTTACGACTTTTACCTCCAATGGAGTATAGGCTACTGACAATCATTCTCCAACCTAATCATTTTGTTTTGGGTCTTCCTTTCTAGTTCTACCCAATTCTTGTTTATTCTTTTCATGTTTATCTTCATTTCTTAGTATAATATGTTCTTTGATCTTTCTCTTTTCCTTTGGCTTTAAGGATTACAATTGAGGGTTTACTTTGTGACATAGTTGGATACTTTCTTCAATATGTATCCTATCCATTATTGATTAAACCATAATTGTTCTTATTACAAAGGTGTTTGAAACTATTATAATATTCAGTTTTATATGGTAACTAATTTCAGTTTTGAAAAAAGGTAAACACATTAGAAACTAAATGAGAATAGAAAATTATTATTTTTTTTTTCTAGGATAATACTACTCAATAATAAGTCATCAGTAGATTAAAGCTTATCGGATATGACAACCAATACATTGTATATGTCAATTTAATCATTCATTCAACAGTCCCCTATTCAAAAGTCTGTTGATTTTCTAAAGAATCTTTTACTAGACTTAGTGTATTATACTACTAATAGTAATAATAATAAAATTAATAATTATAATGTTTCTATAGAGATTCATTTCTTGTGATGATGCTTCTTGAGGCCCAGAACCTCTTGACACGTTGAAGTTAATGCTTCTTTGATACCTTTCCAGTTATCCTCCATAGTAGTTTCTTCTTCCTTCAGTAGATCCTGTAAGGCTTGGAACCTGTTGTTGAGAGCTATCTTGAATTCATTGAGTTTGTCAGTATCTCGAAGGAAGGCTGTATTGAACCTTTGTGATGCTGTTTGTCCAGTTGTCCAGTTCTTCTTTAGCTTCAGTTTTAAATTGGCCACAACCAGGTGGTGATCTAAAGCTATATCCGCTCCTCTCCTGGTTCTGACATCTTCCATTGTCCTTCGGAACTTTTTATTTATGCAAATATGATCTATCTGATTCTCTGTGGTGTGGTCCGGTGAGATCCATGTAGCTTTGTGTATACGTTTGTATGGAAATAACGTGCCGCCTATGACCAATTTATTGAATGCACACAAATTTACAAATCTTTCCCCATCTTAGTTTCTCTCACCTAGTCCATGCAGTCCCATGATATCTTCATATCCGGTGTTGTCTATTCCGACTTTGGCGTTTAGATCTCTCATCAGAATGGTGAGGTCCCTTCCTGGGCACTTCTCTATGATTGATTGCAGCCTCTCATAGAATTGATCTTTAACGTCGTCGTTGCTATCATTGGTGGGTGCATAACATTGGATAATGTTCATTGTGATCCCCTCCTTCTTTGTTTTGAATGATGCTTTGATGATTCTGGATCCGTGAGATTCCCATCCTACTAGTTCATTTCGTGCTACTTTGGATAGCATTAGAGCAACTCCCTTCGTGTGTGTGGCATTTTCCTCCTCGTGACCGGAGTATAGCAGCATCTCTCCCGTATTTATCCTTTGTTGTCCAGCTTGGGTCCAATGGGTTTCGCTGATTCCCAGTAGTTCCATGTTGTACCTCCTCATTTGTGTTGCTATTTCACTGGTCTTTCAGGTCTCCCACATTATCCGGACGTTCCATATATCTATAAAAATTGTTGCTCTGGTTGTTAGAAGAGGCATCGGCTTCACGGCTTCCGAATGAACTCGGCTTTCACCATGAGGCGTCATATTTCTTCTAAATGAAGACCTTCTAACTCCCAGGGCATAGTTTAAATGGTTTGAGTTATTTTTTCTGCTTAGCGTTTTTTTAGTGAGTTAGTTTTGTATGGGATGGGGACGCTTACCCCATGCTCAACTCTCCTCCTTTATCCGGGCTTGGGACCGGCAGTAACTCTAGAAGAGCTACAGGCGGAGTTCATAATAATATGAGTTATTTCGAAATTGAGAAATAAGCAGATTAACACGCACACGCACACGCACACGCACACGCACACGCACACCTATACGTACACGTACATACACGCATATACATACACATCATTTGTCACAATAGTGAGTATCCACAGTCTGAACAAGGAACAAATCCAGTACATTCAATCTTTTCCGATTTGATATCCAGTACTTTATATACATATATATGTAAATGTAATCAATAATTCAACAGTCTCCTATACAAAAGTTTGTTGATTATTTAAAGGTTCTTTAACTAGACTTTGTCTACCAATAATAATATGAATTGTTTGGAAATTGAGAAATCAGCAAATTCATACACACACACACACACGTACACACGTACATACACACTCACACACACGTATATACCTAGATGATTTTATTGTGTACATCTATATTCATGCATATTTATATTGACAAGTACTATTTACATATACACATATGGTATTATACATGTTGTAATAAAGTAAGATACTATCACTATTCAATCAGGTAATAAAAACAACATTAAAAGTCTATATATAAACAAATTACTCTATGTGTATCTATATGTACATGTAATGTTCTTTTTATTTTTCAACTTTTTCATATATAGAATAAACAACCTAACAAGGATTAGTAGAAGTTATGTCATTCACGTGTTGTCATGACAATATATATATATATTTAACTTATGAATAGATTGTCATGTCATTCATAACTGATACACACAAAACTATTGTCATCATCATCGTCATCAGCATCACCATCATGATCACGATGTTCATCATCATAATCATTGGAAATCATTTCTTTCACATGTTTTTCACTTAATTTTGATTAAATAGTTTATTTATAATTTTCAATCATTTATTCAAAGAAAATAAAACAATTATTCACCTAAACACTCATTCACACACACACACACACCCTCACACACACACACACACGTACACATAATAGCCCATTTAAAGAAGGTTTCTACATATCATTCGTTCACTTCATTCACTTCATTCACTTCATTCATTCATTTATTCACTTCATCCATTGACATAATGAAATGTAATATTTTTCATCAAAAACAATCTACTACTTCTAATGGGAATACATCTAATACACGTAGAATATATGCTCATCATTATATGAATTTCAATGGTGATCTATTTAATCATTCTTATTGTAATAATCATATACATTCAACACGTTATAAATGGTATAATTTTATATATAAAAATTTATATGAACAATTTCATAATGTTGCTAATATTTACTTCTTATTAATTATTATTACGTATTTTTTTGTAGATAATATAGGTACAGCTTCTGTGACTATAATCCCATTAATTGTTATTCTATGTATTACAATGATTAAAGATGGTCTAGATGATTTATTACGTTATTATTCTGATCAACAATTAAATTCTATAGAATATTATGTATTAACGATTGATTTTGATCAAAAATCAATAAAATGGTTACCAAAAAAATCATCATTATTATCTGTTGGTGATGTAATTTATTGTAAAAATAATCAATCATTTCCATGTGATTTATTATTATTATATTCATCTAATTCTAATGGACAAGTGAATATTACTACAATTAATTTAGATGGTGAAAATTCTATTAAAAAATATTATACATTAATAGAATATCAATTAATTTATTCAAATTATTGTAATATTGATCAATCGATTCAAACAAATTTAAATTCATTCAATTTTCAATATATAATTCAACAATTATATTTATATGTGATATGTCAACAACCAAATGAGAATTTAATGAGTTTTCAAGGTCATTATAAAACCGCGCCACATTTAAATCATCATGAGAGTGGGGATGGGGATAATGGGGATAATGGGGATGGGGGAAGATATTTACCATTAAATTGGAAAAATTTAGTATTACGTGGATCAAAATTAATATCAACAGATTATATCATTGGTTTAGTAATATATACTGGTCAAGATACAAAATTATCATTAAATAGTAAACATTCACAAAGAAAATATAGTACACGTGAAAAATTATCAAATATGATCTTATTAATCTTTATGGTTGCTATGGTAACTATCACCATACTTGTATCTATTATATCTACACTATGGATACGTAATCATTTAAATCAAATATGGTATATAACATTTGAATTATTAACTAAATGGCAATTTATACGTACTATATTTCGTTATTTATTTATTATTAATTATTTAATTCCAATTTCTATTATAGTCACAACAGAATTTCAACAATTAATCATTGCTTATTTTATAACAAATGATATAGGTATGTATAATTCTATAGAGAATATAAAAAGTACTGCAAATAATTCACAATTATCTGATGAATTAGGACAAATTGAATTTTTATTTTGTGATAAAACTGGTACATTAACACAAAATTTTATGATATTACATTCATGTTGTTTATTAGAACAGGAACAATTATATCAATTAAATCATAATAATAAACATGATAATCATGATGATGATGTTGATGATGATGCTGCTGCTACTGATGATGATGATGATGATAATGATACTACTACTGAATTCACTACTTATAATAGATTGAATAGTAAATTATTAGATATGAATGAAAATTTTCAAGAGTTTTTAACTATTATATCATTATGTCATACAGTAGAATTAAAAAATAATCATAATAATATTCAATTGAATGAAACTACTCAAATGGATTATAGTAGTAATAATAGTAATATACAAGAATCATCATTTAATACATATGAACCATTGAGATTTTATGAATATGAAGTAAGTTTAAGATAAATGATTTGATTTGTATAAGGGCTAAGATAATATCCTGGTGGTTCTCTTAGAGGGCCATATATGAAATCACCTATGACCATAAAGTAGTAGAATAACGTTAGGAGATGCAATTCTATGGCAGTCGATAACTGTTATAACTTGGGGGTTATGTTCCCTTTTAATATATAGCGTAATGATACCGCCAATTAGAGAGTAGTGAATTATCGATCAGACCAATGACGCATAAAACCCGTGCGAGCAGTCTATAGTCCTTATCGGTTCTGGTTCCTGCCTAACCCAACCAGTTAAGTCCAAAACGCCAATCTCAGCCTCATTGATATGAATCATGTATATTTCAAACATGCTGAGTTTACATACCAACCAGACAGATCACATTGTACCATAAAATAGGAAAAAACATTTGTACGAGATTTAGCCAAATATTGGCTGTGAATGAGGGAGATAGTAATTTGTAGACAGGGCATAACTTAAGAATGGTAAATCGTATAATAATCGCTTATAGATCAAAATAAAGCGCATAATAAGAGAGACATGAATATGTATAGTTAAGTTATTCGTTAATTATACGAAAAAAGTATACGTATAGTATTGATCCATAAATCGATCCTAAAACTTACCATTCATTATGCTTATCGAGGCATCACAATAACCAATAATTGATTTATACACCATATGTTCCTTTAAGATCCTGAAGCCCATTTGTTCATTCTCCTGGAGTCCTATTTTCACCTTATTAATGATTCGTTTATCAATTTTGACTATTTTTATATGAGCACAAATATGTGTGTGTACACTACTTATCCTACTCATCACGTTCACTGTAACTTATTATTATGTGGCTATAAATATTGATTCATTGATTGATTAAATCAAATTGACCCATATGCTTTCACCATTGCGCGCCATTTTGTTTCGTTTAACTTTCTCTTCTTTGCTTCATTCGTTGCGTTTCTGTAATTGTTTGTTCCGATCAACAATTGCACAAAATAAACATATTCTCATATCCACTCAATTATAAACTAATTTAAGTGAAGTCAATGATTATATAAAGGGACTGGTGTTCTGTATATTTCAATATAGATCAATATATCATCTAATTGAAGTCAGATCTCTGGGCCACTAAGACAGTAAATATTGAGCGTTTCAATAGTTTACATTGAAATTATCAATATTAGTAAGCTATATACTACTTAAATAATTATTTATAACCCATTTTTATATAAAGTGAATATTTAAGATTCCAATTAAGATTACCATCGAATAACAACAGCTACTGAAAAAAGGAATATTGTGTCAATATAACAAGACTTGGGTCTCACAATTTACTCCATAAAAGATCTTTATGAATAGAAATTAATAAAATAACACTTGGAAATATTGGACAGTAGTTTCCTTCTAGTTTGAGACTGCCTAGCAGTGTGGATGAACGACCCCACTCGCGTGGTTCGAACCCAGGATCTTCACACTTTGGCTAAAATCCAGCGGTATTAATGTCCGACTTCAATAGACCCACGAAATTATGACACTGTCTACCATTGTCTTCAGTGAGTTACTACCTCACAACAGGATGGTGGATTCGGACTGCTGAGGAATCTCATACTAGAACGAAACGGTCGTCCCATAATTCCACGTTTTCCATGGTGGTCTAGCTTTAATCGACTTATGAATAAAGCTATTAAATTACTACAATCTCTACAAAAAATTCTTTCTGAAAGTAAAACTCGTAAATGAGCCTTTGCAATTATCCAGTAGTTAGAAATGTAGACCAGTGAAGTGCAACTTTGACCTGAATGTTAAGAGTTCACCATTAACCCTCAATGTCCTGGGTCTAACCGTTTGATAGAGTAGTCGATGGACATTGTTAAACAGCCCCAAACTAATACGAAACAGCTTTCTGGTGGTTTTTGTTTCACAATTAAAGTCAAAACATTGTGCATACAGTATGAAGTTACTTAGATAAGTATCTATCTTTCACCTTGGTTGATAGAATTCATTTATCAGTGAGAAACATATACACACAAGGTTAGTTAGTACTTGATGAAGGCATCTGGTTAAAATCATCTTCATATTAATATATTTCATAATCTATCATCCTATCAATGAAATCGTGAATACATTTTACAAAATTTCATTAATCCACAAGAATTGTTTGGTTATTTCAGTAATAATGTAGTATGCTACTGATGTAGACAGATATAAGTAGTATGTAGCATCCATCGAAAGTGAAATTTCTGGCAGCGGAAGGTTAAGAAGATCGAAGAAGAGAGTACGAGAACAAAGAATGATTGGCGTGGAAACGAAAGAATGATGAAGTTTGATAGAATTGATTGACATTTCGGGAATGAAATATTCACTGTATGGTTCACAGATCTTACTGATTCTGTAATTTGATGTTCAAGTGCATTCGGTTGTCCCAACTGGTATTCTCGTTCACTATTCACATAAAACTAAATCTTTGTGTACTATTGCCGAATGCTTTGTTATAAGTCTAATTACCTTAACACCATTGGATGCCTGCTCAGTGGTCAAGAGGTTAGGCGTTCACGCGCAAGACTGACAAGCACTGGGTTCGAGGCTCGCGGGGGGCGGGATCGTGGATGCGCTCTGCTGACGAGTCCCACAATGCTTCCAGTTTTTCCATGGTGATATAGGTTTAATCGATTCATGGATTCAACTATTCAATTGCTATAATATCCACAAAATCCTTCTCTGATTTTTTATGAAACTACTGAAAAACTAAACTCTTCTTTATCATTTTTCTTTTTTTTTCATAAAAAAATTTATTTTCTATTTTAAGGCAACATCACCAGATGAAAAGGCATTAGTGGAAGGTGCTTCAAAATTTGGTGTTGTATTTTCAGGTAAAGAACCTGATCTAAATGAAACTGGTTCATATAGATTGTATATTGATTATTGGTCATATTCAACAAAATCAATAAAAGAACCAAATAATGAAAAATTTATTAAACGTCAATGTTATCTTATTGATGCTGTATTAGAATTTGATTCAATACGTAAATGTATGAGTATTATGGTGCGTTATCCTGATGGTACATATTATGTATTGAGTAAAGGAGCAGAAACTGTAATGTTAGATCCTGAGGTAATTACACTTTATCTATGATTTGTTTACATAATATGTTAATAGTTTTGTTACTAAGGTACATCATTTATGTTAAATCTTGAACAGTTGTTTCAGTTTTATATGATAACATTCCATAATCGTATCGGAAGTCATAACCTTCTCGGAGACCGTTGAAAGGACTTTTAGTTATTTGAGTTATAACATCTAATAGTTGACATTTTCAATTTCAATCAGTCTGATATATAGAAAGATGAGCTTTTAAAGACGTTGTTGTTAATTGTCTCATTTTGTATGTGACTTGACTTTAATTTTTATTATTTACTGATATGACCACGTTTATTAATTTCATTTCATTGATTAACTGCCGTTCCATGTACTTGGGCATGAACTACACTCCAAGTAAGGCAGCTATTGAAATTACCTGCTTATTATAACTGAAGTAGAGATGATTTTTAACCTGATATTTAGGTTCTGACTGTCGAATGCCTTAACCGATGAGTTACCGCACGTTAAAAACAAACATTTAGTCTTTTTGGGTTGATGAATTGATTGAAGTTAGATATTAACACTGTTCGATGCAAACTTAATGGTCTATAGATTAGGAGTGCGTGTGAGACCTAAAGTCTTGGGTTCAGGTCCTGCAAGCAGAATCGTGGGTGCGTACTACTGAGGAGTCCCATACTAAGATGAAACGGTCTCCCAGTGCTCCTAGGTTTTCAATAGTGTTCTAACATTCATCAGTTCATGATCTTAACTAAAACTCAACAATCTCTACACTCCTATACTGGGTTCATTTGTGAAGCATTTTGATTGGATTCTAGTGTGCTCTATGACCCTATTGAGTCACCTACACGTCTCTTTCTATCAGCTAAGAACTTAACACAAAGTACGAAAGAGTTATTGTCAAAGCTGAACAGTGATGCTTACAACTAATGAGAATGTTAAAGTGATAGAATTAACCCAAACAGATGACCCTTATTAATACTTGCCTGTCACGTTTCCCACTTTTCGAAATTAAACAGTGTGTTTTCCCTTAGGAACATCTAAACTATTACTTTTCTATAAAATATTTAACCAAAATAAGGTAGCTTAATCAATAACCATTGATCTTTTACTTCTATATGTCTCCGTCATTGATATTTCCTAGATAAGTGACTACAATGTAATAAACCAGATTTATCTTGATCATATAAACTACTTCACTGTATAAACACATCAAATTGACATACTGAAATTAAACTGATAAGTTTCCTTCATTTGATATTGTTTACTTGAATCTTTCCATTGATTTTTAACACTGCAATTGATCAATCTCTTATTGGTACATGTACATACTGTACGGATTGCCTTGATATTGCCTTAAGTTGTAAGCATTATAAGCAAAAATGGATAGTGATTAGCAGTGGAATCCGGTTTGACGCATATTTCGTTCAATTTACAATTCGTCGGCTGAATGTACCTGCATCTCAGAGTTGATGTTCACTCTGGAACTTGAACTCAGTACCGTTCGCTTTGAGCGCCATTACGTTATCCTCTTAGCTACTGAGTCCTGATAGCCACCTGCTTATGAAATGGGGCGAAGTTTAAATTCATCCAGTATTGCTTTTACTAATTTGTTAACAATAATTCAGCATAATCAACACTCAGTATAAAGTTTTAGAAAATGTTGAACGTCATTAAAATCCTGAACCGATCTAATCTAGACAGCAATCGAAGAATTCCAAGTAATGAAATGCTGTTTCGTCCCAGTACAGACTTTTCTTCAGTGTACATCTACCACCGTGCTGTCGAGAATCTAAACCGGGAACTTTAGTCTCACGCGCGAACGCCTCATCTCTAGACTACTTATTCGGGAAACAGTGGTGTATGACTAATTTCAACCAATCGACGATATTGTGCGATAATGCTCCATTGTCTTCGATGGGTACCTTCTTAACACCCTCTACTGTTCAGCTTCACTAATAACGTCTTCTCACTAGAACACTCGAAATTTCCTCTCGAAGTCAGTCACTAGTGATTATATGATAAGTGTTAGTATGTGATTATGGAGATTGTTGAATTTTGAATTGATTGATCACTGGGTGACCAATGTCATGCGTGTCTAGTCCTTATTATTATTGCAGATCGAATGCTATCGATCATTTTGCAATGTGGCCACCAGTCTAGGTGACTGGACACTGCGGGCACTATTGTAAGATTAGATGGTGTTTGGAGGTAGTCGACAGGAAACCCTGGACCCGGGTTTCGTGCTACTTGGTACTCGTCAGCAAGGTGCACCTGTAATCTTTGAGGGAACTGGTGCTCCCTGGCGGATTCGATCCCGTGTCACCCAGCTTCACAGTCAGAGACGTTACCACTGAGCTATCCGGGCCGCGACTGACCTTCTGTAGGACTGACATGTAATCACAATTGATTACTGAGGAGCGCCATACTAGGGCAAAGTAACCGTTCGAAACTCTTAGGTTTCCAATAGTTATTCAACATAGATAGTTTCTTGATTGGAATAAAGATTAAAAACACTGTCCTATATTATCCAGTCACCAATGGATAGTGAAAAGTTAATGATTCAGTTCAGTGGTTATCGTAAATATTTTTCATTCTATCAACATAATATGGTAATGTTAAAAAAAATAACTAGCTGAATATGATCATGGATCTCAATTTCAGCAAAAATAGTAAGGTAGTCTTGCCATTTCATGGATCGATTGGAATTAGAATTGGGCATTATTGCATCCTAGCTCATTAGCTTAAAGGTTATGCGTTCAGGAGTGAGACCAAAATTTTCCGGCTACAGTCTCACATACAGGATGTACTGATGAGGAGTATCATGATAGGACGAAACACTATTCCAGTACTTGAAGTACTTCATTAGTCGTCTAACTTTGATCAGCTTATGATTTGAATGAAATTCAAGAATTTCCACAAGTTCAATCAGATTGATTATCCTTATCGGTTAGATGTTACTTTTTTGTATTTCACAGCATTTACAAGTTATTTTAATACATTAAGCCATTCACTGAATCATTGATAGAGAATTTGTTAAGTAACCCAGAGCAATCAGACACATAGTCTATGGTCTATTTTTAGTAATATATAAATTGTTATTTCATTGGCATCAATCACGTCATAATTGAAGAATAATCCATCAACTATAAATTTATCAGTATCATACTTGTCATTAATAATGTACTACTACTACTACTACTACTACGACTACGACTACGACTACGACTACTACTACTACTACACCTACGACTACTACTACTACTACCACTACTACACCTACGACTACTACTACACCTACGACTACTACTACTACTACTACTACGACTACTGCTACTACGACTACTACGACTACTACTACTACTACTACTACTACGACTACTGCTACTACGACTACTACTACAACTACTACTACTACACCTACGACTACTACTACTACCACTACTACTACTACGACTACTACTACGACTACTGCTACTACGACTACTACTACAACTACTACTACTACACCTACGACTACTACTACTACGACTACTACTACTACGACTACTACTACTACTACACCTACGACTACTACTACTGCCACTACTACTACTGCTACTACTACTGCTACTACGACTACTACTACAACTACTACTACTACACCTACGACTACTACTACTACCACTACTACTACGACTACTGCTACTACGACTACTACTACAACTACTACTACTACACCTACGACTACTACTACTACCACTACTACTACTACCACTACTACCACTACTACTACTACTACTACTACTACACCTACGACTACTACTACTACCACTACTACTACTACTACTACTACTACTACTACTACTACCACTACTACTACTACTACTACTACTACTACCACTACTACTACACCTACGACTACTACTACTGCCACTACTACTACTGCTACTACTACTGCTACTACGACTACTACTACAACTACTACTACTACACCTACGACTACTACTACTACCACTACTACTACTACGACTACTACTACTACACCTACGACTACTACTACTACTACTACTACGACTACTGCTACTACGACTACTACTACAACTACTACTACTACACCTACGACTACTACTACTACGACTACTACTACTACGACTACTACTACTACTACTACACCTACGACTACTACTACTACCACTACTACTACTACTACTACTACTACTACTACTACTACTACACCTACGACTACTACTACTACCACTACTACTACTACTACTACAACTACTACTACTACACCTACGACTACTACTACTACCACTACTACTACTACTACTACTACTACTACTACTACTACTACTACTACTACTACACCTACGACTACTACTACTGCCACTACTACTGTTAATATTAATAATAATAATAGTAATGTTCATAATAATAATTATAGTTATATCACCTGCTGTTCTCATTCTCTTCTGTTCCATCTTCTTACTCTTCTGCTGCCAAACATTTCACTATTGATTGATATTACTTATATCTGTTTATATCAGTAGTACACTTCATAATATGACTGTTAGTTTAAGTCATTCAACTTTGTAATCTGAAAAAAAAGTTTGATACAAACTACTCAAAAATAGTTGTCAATACACCTTCATATTGAACATTCATAAAAATGAATTCATTAAAAGGTTAAATAATTCCAGATCATTATCATCAGTAGAAATGCATAGATCTAGATTAGATGAGGTTGATAAAGAGAAAACGATACACTTTGAAACATATTCACGATGAACATTTGAATATTTGATGTTATTTGATAGTGACTGCCTCTAATCTCGATTGTTAACACTTAAATGAAAGTATTTATTACTTATTTGTGATTAGTACTATAATTATGAATGTGTATGTTATCTTATTCAAGAGTTAACAGTTAGCTTAACTGAATTCAATAATATAATAACATATGATAGTTACCAGTTTTCAACCAACGTATTAATACTATAGGATAATGAAGTATCTTTTTAAAGATCACACGGTCATCTTTTGTATACTTTGAAAGGCCATAATATCGAAATAAGAATCATTACAGTTACTGAAAGAACCTTATTGAAACTGTGATTAATAGTGTGGTGCGTGCTACTTATATTTGATATAAGTAGTATATGACGTGAGCCAGGAATATAACGTCTGGGAGCAGAAGATGGAGAAGATCAAGAAAGGAAGAACGGGAATAGAAAGCAATTAGTATGGAAATACAAGAACAATGAAGTCTGAGACAATTGTTGAACATTTCACAAATTAAGTATAATAGCATGGTTTTTCTGCTTTACCAAGTAACTCTGTAATTTTGTGTTAAATAAGTTGTCCTCACCTGTATTCTACCTCACTACAATAGTACCTACTTATTTCTGTTGTGATAACTACGTACTATGTTTATAGGTTTTATTTATCATAAATTGATCTTGGTTGAGATATCTTTGAGTACTGATAAACACCTGTTTAGTTCGGATATGAGACTCGAGAGTGCGTACTCACAACTCTTCTAGAGAACAAACCCAGGTCCTTAAGGTATCATAATAAAAAGCATAACTATTTTAACGAATGTTATACTCTTCAGGAGAGCTAGATAGTGGCTTGAAGTGGAGTTCAAGATGCATATTTTATCCTGTTTGAGACTCATCGTTTGGATGTATCTACACCCATGTTGATATTACAACTGGGACTCGGACCCAATAGCTTCCGCTTCGAATATCCAAAGTGTTATCTACAGTGTTACTACGTCCAAGGTACCAATGATATGTGCAACGGATTGAATTCTCAATTCTTCTCTCTATTGATGTTAAGGATTGTCTTTCATCAGCCTCTTTTAAGGATGTACGGATTTTATTCTGATTTATTCAGGATAAACAGGATCGATACATTTCCAAAGATATTGACCGATTGCAGACCTTAACAAAAACAAAGAGAAGATTCAAATAACGTTTACAAATGATTTTCAATGGTACAATTATTTGTTCACATATTCTTAGAAACAAAATTTATTGCATTGCCAACCTAGTAACCTTAACACTCGGTAGAATATACAGTGATAATACACTTTAAGGTTAATTTGTTGTCAAGATTTGATATCCGCTTCAGAAGAATAATTGGATACTAAGCAACATTAATCCCCTGTTTTATTTATGACAATGAGTGTTCACAAACCAATCGATCAAACATAGACACATTCTTGATATTCATATGTCATACTACTGGGGATGCTAGATCCCCAGAACTCACTTGGTAAATGTCTTATTTTTGTAAGTTTCTTTTGAAAAATTTGAATTTCTTGTTTTCACCTTCATATCGTATTCTCCATTTGGGAGCACCTTAAATGTCATTGGTTCGTTGTCTCTTTTAATATGCTATTTTGTAACGTTTCCCATGGACATTTTTATGCTCTATATATACGCTCGTTGTGCTTGTTGTTTTTGTTCATGCTCCTGGCTACTTGTGGAATACAATTCCCTCTTCCAGACCTGAACTTTTTCCTGTAATTAGAGGGGCTGGGACGCATTAGAATAGTCGGTTGGTTTAGTCATTATGTCATTGAGTCTTCGTTCCATTCGCAGATTAGGTGAACTCGTAATCTTACCAAACATAGCATATACCGACTAAGATATCATGAAAAAAATTTATCAGTGATAGAGTATGACTTTTATCTTTCTAGACTTCGCAGATGATCTGAATTTTCTATCGCACACGCAACAACAAATTCAGGAGAAGATCACCAATGTAGCAGCAGCCTCAGCGGCAGTAGGTCTCAACATACACAAATGGATAAGCGAGATTCTCCGATACAATACAGCATGCAACAATAGAATCATACTTGACGGAGTAGCTTTGGAAAATGTAAAAACCCTCACGTGTCTGGACAGCATCATTTATGAACACGGTGGATCTGATGCAGATGTGAAGGCGCGGATCGGTGATGTAAGAGCCGCATATTTGCAACTGAAGAACATCTCGAACTCAAAACAACTGTCTGTCAACCAACATCAAAGTTAGAATTTTCAATACAATTATCAAGACCGTTCTACTGTATGGGACGGAAACCTAGAGAACTACGAAAGCCATCATTCAAAAGACAAGTGTTTATTAATAGTTGTCTACGCAAAAAACTTCAGATGCGTTGACCAGACACTATCAGCAACAATCTACTGTGCGAGAGCAAAGAAAGTAGATCCCAGCGGAGGAAGAAATCAGGAAGAAGTGCTAGAATTGGATAGGACACACATTGAGGAAATCACTTAACTGTATCACAAGGCAGGCCCTTACATGGAATCTTCAAGGTCAAAGAAGAAGAGGAAGACCAAAAAACACATTACACCGAAAAATATAGACAGACATGAGAAAAATGAACAGGAATCGGATAGAACTAGAAAGGAAGGTTGATGAAAGAGTGAATTAGAGAATACTGGTCGGCAGCCTATTCTCCATCAGGAGTGATAGGCGTAAGTAAGTAAGTCACTTACATTCATAAATCCTACCTTAACTATGTAATATATAGATTTCTCTTTCTTTTTCTTTCTTTCTTTCTTTCTTTAAAGAGATGCAGTACTACATCTGGTTATCTACGTTCACGTGCTATTCATTATGTAAATCAATATGCAATTCATGGTTTACGTACACTTGTATTCGCTAAACGTATATTACATAAATCTATGTATATGAAATTATTAGAAAATTTTAAATATGCCTCTAGTCTATGTGATCATGAACGTTTGAATGCATTAAAACAATGTTATCATGATATTGAATATGATATGATACCAATATATGTGACTGGTATTAAAGATAAATTACAACCTGGTGTTAAAAATTGTATAAAAGCTTTAAAAGAAGCTGGAATACAAGTAAGTTTAAAATAAATATAATAAATATCAATGGTTATGATCATGAGTCAGTTGAAGCTAGACCACCGTGGAGAACCTGGAAGCATTGGACGGCCGTTTCGTCTTATTGTGGCACTCCTCAGCAGTGCGCATCCACAACCTCTCCTCTGCAAGATGCAGACCTAGGACCTACTGGTTTCGCGCGCGAGCACTTAACCACTAGACCACTGAACTAACCGGCATCCAACGGTGTTAATGTCTAACTTCAACTAATCCACGAAATTGAGCGACACATCCACCATTGTTTTCAGTGAGTTACTATCTCACAACAGACTTGGTTGAACTCCACTGATCACTACTTCTCGCTAGAACTCCAGGACATACCTCTTGAAGCCAGTCACTATTGAGCATATGTTGATTGTAATCAGAAAGTGGGTTTTGTGGAGAGTGTGGTAATTTCAATGGTTAAGATCATGAGCTTCAACTGACTCATGATCTTAATCATTGAAATTACTACAATCTCCCCAAATCCCCTTCTGATAACAATGAATATCATAAAGAAATGATTGTTGCTATGGGGATTATCGATTATTTACTATGAAGACTTAATCTTACCCCAATCAGATTAATTACTTTCAGATGTTAACAAACAGTTAACAGATCTATTTTAACCTATTTAATTCAGATGGGACATACAGCTAATATGGTGCAATCATGTGAACAATAGTCTATCTAATTCTGTCAGACTAAGAATCTTGCAGACATAGGAAGAGATGGTTAGTCTAGGCAAAATTTATCTTTCAATCTCGGAGTGATTATTGAACATGTGGAAAACATTAGTTATAGTTTATCTGAATTAAAAGTCATTTGAATTGATCGGCTTTACTTTAGCCTTAGCATTTTATTCGATGCATCATCACCCCTGAATTGTAAGCACATATACAGAGGCTTTATATTTACCGTTAAGCATTCTCTATGCTTTCTTTTATTGGCTATGTTTTTATTTAGAAATTTCTCGGGATGTTCATTTTCTTTCAGGGTTTTGTCTTTGTTCCATCTTCCATCGTATCTGGAGAGCATATAGTCTTGATTCTATGATGCAATGTCTTAATAAGGTTCCTTTTGTATTGTAGAGGAACAAAACTAAGAAAGTTTGTATATTGGCCCGTTCAAGTAGTTTTCTTGTTTATGTTTCTTTTTAGTGACCCGTGTTTTCTCCTTGTAAGTAGAACATCTAGAAAGGCTATTCTTCTCCTATTTTCCTTCTCACATGTGAATTTTATGGACAGGTGAACTGTATTGAAACGCTCGAATGTTTCTATGATGTCCGTATAGTTGTTACAAAGGATAAATGTATCCTCCATATATCGGCAGTAAAATGAAAAGTTGTCCATCTCTTGTGCCAGTTGACCGTTATCCAGTTCAAAGAGGAAAATGTCAGCCAATATAGGACCTAGGGGTGAACCCATCGCAACACCATCTATTTGTCTATAGATTTCACCATTGAATTTGAAATGTACATTCATAGTACATTTTAGTAATAATTCTTTGATGATCTCCACAGGGATTTTCGTTTCTAATTCATGTTCTCTAAGTTGTTCATAAATATATTCTACAATTTCTCTGAGTGGGACATTTGTGAACAATGACGTTACATCAAAGGACATCATCGTTTGACCTTTCGTGTTTATGTTTTTAATCTTGTTAACGAATTGGACACATCCTTAATACTATACTTCACTAGGTGTTTGTGGAATGGTTTCAAAACGGTTACTAACTACTTTGCTACAGTATGATATGGGGAATCGTACATGTCCAAAATTGATCTTAATGGAATATCCGGTTTATGTACCTTCAGCAGTTCGTATAACCTAGGTAAATGTGTACTTATAGGCTTAATGGTTTCATATATGTCTGGTGGAATCATCCGTTGATCTGTGAGCTTTTTTAAAGATCTGGTCAGTTTATTCTCTATCTTATTATTGACATCTTTTTAGTTATTCTGTTTCTGAAATTTTTTGTGATAATTCAAGATCTTATTCATCTTGTCAATGTAATTTTTTCTGTTAATTAGGACAGTTCCTGTTCCTTTATCAGATGTTGTAATAATCAGATTCTCATCAACAATGAGTTGATTGATGGCTTCCTTGTGTTTTTTTAGTTAATATTAATGCCAGCAGTCAACTAGGTTTGATTTCAAACGTTCAAGTTCTTGATCAGATGTCTGGACTAAATCATGCAGACGGTTGAAGCAATCACTATTCGGATAAAAAAGCTGGAGCTTTGAATCTAAAAGAAATATGTTAAGCCGCTCCTTTTTTCCTTAGTTAACTTTGGGGTCAACTAGTTAATAATCAATTTTATAATATAATGACGTAGTTTGATTGTTGTTCATTTTTATGTTTTTGATGAAGTTTTGTTCATTGAGCTAGATGGCTTAGTCGTGGAGCGTTCATCGTCCTTCTGAACAACATCATCAGCACAAACTTCAAGTAGAAGTGAAGCCTTTGAATTTCTCCATATGTGGTTCACAGTTTGTCTTGTACACCTTGATGTTGGTTGGTTCTTGTTGATCTTAAACTTTTCATCGTTTACTTGTTTGTTTTGGTTGTATCTCCCAACGGGAGATTATCATTATTATTACACTTGATAACCTTTTTGAGAAATTTATTCAGCATCCAACCCTATCTGCTATATCTGACCTATTCTACATGTTAGGTAATTCCTGATTTGTATTCCATTATTCTCTCACTCTCTCTCTCTCTCACGTCATGTCGACCATATTTATTCTGATCATTATTTATCTCACAATTTCATTTCACTTATAAACTGATTCAATTCCAAAATTTTATATTATCAGAAGGGGTTTTATGGAGATTTTAGTAATTTCAATAGTTAAAATCATGAGTCAATCGAAGCTAGACAACCATGAAAAACATGGATGCACTGGACGGACGTTTCGTCCTAGTATGGGACTCCTCAGCAGTGCGCATCCACGATCCCGCCCCACCACCACCACGAGCCTAGAACCCAGGACCTATCAGTCTCGCGCCAGGCGCCTAACCATTAAACCACTGAGCCTGAATCCAATGGTGTTAATGTCTTTCTTCAACCGATCCACGAAGTTGCGGCAGCGTACATCATTGTTTTCAATGAGCTGATATCTCACAACAGACCTGGTTGAACCCCACTGGTAACGGCTTCTTACTAGAACTCAAGGAAATGCCTGTTGAAGTCAGTCACTAATGAGCAGTTGATTATTATCAGAAGGGATTTTGTGGAGATGGTGCGCATCCACGACCCCGCCTCGCGGAATTCGAACGCAGGACCTATCAGAAGCCGTGAACAGTGGAGTTCAACCGAATCTGCTGTGAGATAGTAACTCATTAAAGAGTGCCACAGTAGAACGAAACGCCCGTTTAGTGCTTCCAGGTTTTCCATGGTGGTCTAGCTTCAATAGACTTATGACTTCAACTAATGAAATTACTACAATCTACATAAAACCCTTTCTGATAGTAAATCTTGATTCACCTATTACAATTTCCAAATAATGTACTCTACCTTAAATCTGACCACTTTTATGGATTATTAATTTGAATATGTGATAATTGCAGAGTGAGCCTAATGAGAAATTCATTGAAAAGAATACTCTTCCCGTTTTTTTGTATATAATGGAAATTTATCAGCGATATATATTTATCTTTTCTTTATCGTTATTATCTCAATTATGTTTGAAAGTTTTCAATAGTCAAACTTTTCAAGTAATTTCTTGTCAATTTGATATTATTCTAATATCAACTTTAAAGGACATAGAGAGTGGAAAAGAAAACCCAAGAAACCAAGTTTACTATTTAAGAGAAGTAACATAAAGTAGCGATAGAATTACAAATCACAAGCCAGGAAACAATTAGTTCTAAATATCAAGAAACAAAGTCACTAAACGAAATCGGATTAGAGGCGGTCTTAGTGACCTGAGAGCTTGACCGCAGTGCCCAAGGGACAACTGTTTTAGGTCGGTCACACACGATTTTTTTACGAGTGGTTTTTGTGTTAGCTCTGTACTTGTTGAGAGCTTACCACCGGAGACGGATATCCGTGAGATAAAGCGGGGTGTGCATTTTTACGGTCGACCTTTTCTAACCCCACCCCTATTTTTGGGAAGGCAGTATCGCTGTTATGTTGGTTGTCTGAAGGAAACACCTTACTGCTGTCACACCTCTGTACAGTCAGCAGTACGATTACGCCTTTGGACCTTGGATTTATTGCTTTTAGTCTTACCTCTCTTCAACCAACCCGTCTGACATGGTAGGGCCTTGAGGAACGATTGTTTCAATCAGCATAGCTCGATTGGTTCATGACGATAGGCAAGTCAGACCATCACATCAAGTTAGCAACAACGGTCGTCTTGCTGTGCTAATGATTCATGTATGTGTCTGGCCCTAGGCTGTAACTGATTGACTGAAACCATCATTGAAAACCTGGAAGCAATGGATAGTTGTTTCATCGTAATATGCAACTCTTCAACAGTACGTATCCATGATCTCGCATAGGGGACTTGAACCCAGGATCTTCAATCTCGTATGTGAATACTTAATCTTTAGTCTCATACTAAGACAAAACATCTATCCACTACTTCTAAGTTTTCAATACTGATCTACTATAGATTTTCACAAACCCTTCCCATCTATCTCTTTCATCATTATTACTATTTCTATAGATATGGATATTAACTGGTGATAAAGCTGAAACAGCAATAACAGTAAGTCAATCTATTGGACATTTTACATCGAATATGTCATTAATAAGAATAATGAATTGTCAAAGCTTACAATCAACAGCCTATAAAATTTATGAACAATTAGATGCATTATATACATATAATGATTATCATAAACAAAAACCAATTCATCAACATCATCATCATCATCATCATTCTATCTTAACAATACCAAGAATTAAAACAATAAATTATAATGGAACATCAACATCATCTTTATGTATGGATGGATCATGCAATAATAATAATATATAATACTGGTAATAGTAATAGTAATGGTAATAATAATGATAATAATCATAATGATGTTTATTACTATGGCAACAATGGATTCATCTTGAATAAGAAAAGTTGTATAATTAGTCGGTATATTAGACGAAAGCATAAAAAGCATCCTGGTATGGCAAATGAATCAATTGGTCTTGTTATTGATGGAAAAAGTTTACAATATGCATTACATGTAAGTAATTTGTTTGTTTTTTTTCTCTTTTTTTTTGTGATGTTTTTCTGTTTACATTTATTTATTTGTTTGTTTATTTGAATATAGAAATATTGATAGAAAGGGGGGGGGCACAGAATATATGTGAACTACACAAGTCACTGTGATACTGTTCAGGTGCTCAGACTGAACAAGTTGGTTATCTTTAGGGGGTGGGTACACCTGGAGCCTTCAATCTAAAGGTCTAATTCACAAGGAAGTGAAGCAATGTTAGGGGATACAGTCTCATGGTAGTCGGTGACCAACAATTGGTTCATATACCATTTGTTTCTTCAGGGTCTTGGAGCCTAAGTGGACTAATGGTTTGGAATTAGGGTTTTCCAACTTCTCTAGATAGGCCCTTTGTATGCACCAATTCAGTTAAAGCGTTGGAAGTTCAATTTTTGTCCTCTCAATTTCGTAAATAACAGTAATGTCACGAGACTTCAGTAAGTAGGACTTCCCTGACAGTAGCTGTATACACGTGGCCATGTGAGAGTATTTGCAGTGACAGAGCGGACTCTCCCCACCATCGACCTTACCGGAGCTTTTGGGGGCCCCTGAGTAGTTGAACAGGAATATTTGTTCAAACTTATTTTTCACTACAGATTTTCATTAACTGAAGATTCATTGAAAATTAAAAAAATATTAGGCAGATATACATATCCACTGTCACTTCACCGAAAATCTATTTATGTTTTCCACTGTTCTTGTGCATATATAACAACCTCTCTTTGTTAGGTATGTGAATAACTCTTCTGCATTGTACTATAGGTCTGAACTTCTTCATACATCAACTTATCATTGATAGTTACTTGAAAACAGTTGACTTTATTATATGTCACTTTTCTATTCTTTACATCGGAACTATTCAAAGGGACAGTTACTTTTGAAGTATTCAGTAAGAAAATTGTATCATATACAAGAATTAAGTTTGAAATTGGATTGATAAAGCAAAGAGCAACAAATCATACACAATGGTGCAACAATAGGAGATACAGTCCCATGGTAGCCGATGACCAACAATAGGTTCATATGCCATTCGTTCCTTCAGGATCTTGGAGCCCATGTACACCATTGGTTTGGAATCAGGGTTTTCCAACTCCTCTAGGTGGATTCTCCGTATCCACCAATCCTTTTGAATCGCCGGACATTCGCTTTTCTCATGGTCAACCAATAAACAACTATCAATGTAAATAAACAAGAGTGTTTAACTCAATTTAACTATCCAAATGTTCATTATGCAGTTCATTTGTGAACCGATTAATCACGATCTGTTTTAGTGACAGTTTAAAACGAATAGTGAAAGTATCATCTTGTACCGTTTTCCTCAGCCAACATACATTATAGCAAAGCACTACTTCACATCCTTCATTTGTAGTCATTCATGAGTAATTCATTATCTTCATAGTGCTGAATTATGTTATCTTAATTGAAATTCATCATTGTAAAACTTATAGTGGGGATTGTTGCTTTAAATATATCTTTCATGACATTGAAATCAGTATCTGAAAGCTATTGAATTCATCTTTAAAGCATAATTTAATTCATTTCTAAGCATTATGGTATATACTACTTATGTCTTCCGACATAAGTAGTATGTCACACAAATCAGAAATGGAAAATCGAGTAGCACAAGGCTAAAAAGATCAAGTTGAGAAGAGAAAAGCAATAATGAAAATAGAAACGGACTATAAATTGGAAGGATCATACAGAATATGAAGGACAATTGAATGGAAGATTTGAAAATGAAGCATTAAAGGTATGGTTCTCGTATTTCACAGGGATGAAACATCAAATTGGTCTTTCTCAGATGTGTTCCAGTTCATTACAGTGTGACTATAAACATTGAGTAAATTGTCTATAACAATAAAAAAATTATTGGAATCGTGAACCGATTATGCAACCGTCGAAAACCTATAAGTATTGGACGGCCGTTTCATTCTTGTATAGGACTCCTCAGTACTTTGCATCTATGATATTCCAATCAGGAATTATAATGAGGACCTTCGGTTTTATGCGCGAGCACATAACCTCCAGACAGTCAAGCCATAATATAATGGTGTACAAATCTAATTTCAGTCAATCGACGATATTGCGAGATAATGAAACATTGTCTTCGATGGTAACCTTCTGCACATTCAACGTGATTTAACTCAACCGGGTTATATTCTTGGTTGTGTGATGGTGGATTGGCGCTGTTGCGGAGTTCAACTCTAGAACAAAACGCCTGTTCAATGGTTACAGGTTGACTGGCTTAGATCCGTCCATAATTTTGACGAAATTCAATAATCTCAACCCCATATCGACAATAATAGATTTCAATAGTTGAAATCATGAGTCAACTGAAGCTAGATCCCTATGGAAAATCTGGAGGCACTGGACGACCGTTTTGTCCTAGCGTGAGACTCCTCAGTAGTGGTCTGCTGGTTAAACGCTCGAGCGCGAGACTGATAGGTTCTGTGTTCGAATCTCGTGGGGGGCGAGATCGTGGATACACACTGCTGAGGAGTCCCTTGCTAGGACGAGACGGCCGTTTAGTGCTTCCAGGTTTTCTATGGTGGTCTAGCTTCAATTGACTCATGATTTCAATTACTGAAATTACTAAAATCTCCATAAAACCCCTTCTGATAATAATATATTCGTCATGATTTTAAGAGACGACTCCACAATGTGAACTTTAGCCAATTGTGTAAGGTTGTAACACTTTACTTTATTTTATCCTAATGGATTTTACAGTCAGTGAACAGTCCTGATGTTTACGTATTAAATGCAAGCTCAAGCCAATATGCACTAATTGGCCAATTTTTGAGAAAGTGGGGGCTGATTGAGGCCAATATTACAAGACCTTTAATGAAAATGGGTTTTAATACAATAACTCCCAACATTTTAGACCTTACCACTAGCACTGACAATCTATAAGGACAAGGTGAGGTGTGCTATTTTACAGATGTTTATCAACTAGAACTTCTCCATTCCTTCGTGAGTTGAAAACATCACTGATGTTTCTTGCAGTTATCACACTGTTATCATACTCCAGTTTAAACGATCGTAGGACTTCACCTCGAGTTCTATGTTACCACTCTTCAGCTGACCTGTTTAGTATTAGAGAACCTCAATGAACAAACGTTTTCTGATCAGTATAGGTTGTTTACGTAGTCACAAAGGAAAAGACCTGACCATCGAGATGACAATATAACAATTGTAATACTTTATCCTTATATTTAGTATTAATTCATTTCATAGGTAACCTTTAATCCATATATACTATCATTGAATACATTAATTGCTTTATAATCTTGATTTTATTTTGTTAGACCTCAGTACGAAATGCATTTCTAGAATTATGCATGAATGTTACAACAGTGTTATGTTGTCGTATGACACCATTACAAAAAGCATCTATTGTTAAATTAGTTCAAATTGGTTTAGCAAAACATACACGTTATGGTATGAAACCAGTTATAGCTGCAGTTGGTGATGGTGGAAATGATGTAGCTATGATTTTACAAGCTAATATTGGTGTTGGAGTTTATGGTAAAGAAGGTCGTGAAGCAGTTAGAGCAGCGGATTATTCAGTGACACAGTTCAGGTGAGTAGTCATACTTAAACTTCTGTGTAGTTTTAAAAGTATTTAATCCTTAAATTAAAGAATTCTAATAATTGAGATCATGAATCGATTGATGTTAGACCTGAAAGCACTGGACGGCCGCTTCATCCTATTGTGGAACTCCTCAGCAGTGCGCATTTACGATCCCGACCACGGGATTCGAACCCAGTGTTTCCAGGTTTTCAATGGTGGTCTAACATAAATCGATTCATGATCTCAATCAAAATCTTAACAATCTCCACAACCCCTAAACTGATAATTTAATAATATTGGATACAAACTCAGGAAATTAAAAGTTAATTGCTTACTGAGAGCTATTTAAGTCCTGGGTTCGATCTCTAGCAGAGTAATGGATGGTCACTGATTAGGAGTTCCATACTAGGAAAAAATGGATGTTCAACAACTCTGATTTCATTTGTGGTATCTCGAATTGACAATTGTATAGTTACATAGGTTCTCAATATTGTTTGATGATCTCTGTGTATATGTGGCTTGTCCATTACTAACATATTTTCTTGATTTCCTCTTCATTTGAATGCTAGTTTGTATTTTGTCACAGTAGGTTGTTGCTAATGTTATCCGGTCAACAGACATTGTTCATCTTGTGTAGACAGTTGTTTATAAGTGCCTGTACATTTTTGATGATGGTTATGGTAGTCGATCTCCAAGTTTCTGCTTTGAACATTGTATTGACATAAGTTACAAACTATGGATGAAGATTTTTGCATAGCATTATCTACTTAACCACTGAATCCTATTAGTCACTTGCTTGTATAATGGGATAAATTTAAAATTCACTTGGTATTGTTTTACTTGAATCTTTCCATTGATGTTTAGGATTGCAATTGATCATTCTCTTATTGGCATATGTGCATAGTGTGTGTATTTCTGAGATATTGCATTAATTCATAAGCATTATAATCAAAGGTGGATAGTGGCTAGCAATGGAATAAACGATGCGCGTTTCGTCCCAATCGGGACTCTTCAGTTGGGCGTACCTGCATCTCAGGTTTGGTGTTCACTTTGGGACTCGAACACAGTACCGTTTGCTTCGTACGCCATTACGTTATCCACTTAGCTACTTACGCCTAATAATCATTTGCTTGTGCAATGAGATGAAGTTTTAATTCACTTGCTATTGTTTGACATTGATGTTTAGGATTGCAATTGATCAATCTCTTATTGGTAAATTGTTGTAACGGTTGGTTTTCCACGTTTACACGTATGGGACGTTAATTTACTTTAGACGAATATCTACACTAGATTCCCTCCCAGTGTCTATTCTACAGAACGTCAACACAACTCAGATGATCAAGAACACGTGATTAGCCTGAGCAGAACGTAAATATATTTCCACACCAAAAACCCGACACATTCCAACAACAATGAACAATCATTAATAATAATAATAACGATAGGAGAATATACAACTCATCTGACACTTGTCAGACTATATACATGTCTAGCTTCAATTGATTCATGATTTCAACCAGTGAAATTTCTAAAATCTCCACACAATCCATTCTGATAACAATAATCATCTGCTCATTAGTGACTGACTTCAACAGGCATTTCCTTGAGTTCTGGTAAGAAGCCGTTACCAGTGGAGTTCAACCAGGTCTGTTGTGAGATATCAGCTCACTGAAAATAATGATGTACGGTGCCGCAACTTCGTGGATCGGTTGAAGATAGACATTAACACCGTTGGATTCAGACTCAGTGGTTTAATGGTTAAGCGTCTGGCGCGAGACTGATAGGTCCTGGGTTCTAGGCTCGTGGGGGGGGGCGGGATCGTGGATGCGCACTGCTGAGGAGTCCCATACTAGGACAAACGGCCGTCCAGTGCTTCCAGGTTTTCCATGGTGGTCTAGCTTCAATGGATTCATGATTTCGACCAGTGAAATTTCTAAAATCTTCACACAATCCGTTCTGATATATACATGTCTGACTAAGCAGACAACCAGTCATTATCATTTTCGTCCACATATCATATACATACATACTGCATGGATTGCCTAGATATTTCCATAATTCACAAGTATTATAATTAAAGATATATAGTGGTTTGCAGTGCAATCCAGTTTAATGCATGTCAGTTGAATGTACCTGTATCTTAAAGTTGATATTCACTCTGGGACTCCTACCCAGTATCGTTCCATTCAAACTCTATCGTGTTGTCCATTTAACTACTGAGTCCTAATAACCGCTAGCTTATGCAATGGGAAGAATTTTAAATTCACTTAGTATTGTTTCACTTATATACTTCCTATTATTGTTGAAGAGATTATTAAATTTCCATTAGTATCATGAATAGAATACTGCGGTGTTGTGCTACTTATGTAGTATATGACGTGAATACTAAACAGAATGTCTGGCAGCAGAGAGACGGGAAGATCGAACAATAAAGAATTAAGAAAGAATGTAATTTGTATGAAAATGCAAGAACAAAGGGATTTTAAATCATTTGAGACAATTTGCAAATTAACGATTTATTATATGGTTGTTGGATTTTACTAACCACTTCTGTAATTTGTTGTCAAATACATTCGATTGTCTCCCACTAGTGTTCTGCTCACTACATTACTATTAAGAACTTGAAAGTATTCAATGTACTTGCATAGAACATCATGGCAATGTATATACATGATCTATGCATACTAGTAAGTGTTCATATTTATAGAAAGATAGAAACCCTACCACCACCACTTCCACCCCTCACCACCACCTCCGTTTTATTTTATTCTCATTATTCTTTATCTATTTTTTTTCTTTTCTTTTCTTTTCTTTTTCTTTCTTTTTTTTTCTTTTTTATTTTATAGACATATTCAACGATTATTTTTATTACATGGACATTGGTCATATTATCGTATTACCATAACAATGTTATTTTTTTATCATAAATCTGTAGCAATTGTATTTAATCAATTATGTTTAATATATTTTAATGGTTATTCAGAATATCCATTATTTGGTACAATTATATTTATATGTTATAATTTAACAATGACATTTTTAGTTAGTTTAGGTTATGGAATGTTTGAACGTCATATTAAAGAAACAATTCTATTAAATAAACCATATTTATATAAAGAGGTAAGTGATTAATAAAGTTTGTTTGTTATTTATAATCAGGGGATTGTAGAGATCATCAACAGATTGATGTTAGATCAATTGTTGGAAATGTGGAAGCATTAGACAGCTGTTTCATCCGATTATAGGACTTCTCAAAAGTGTATATCTATGATCTAGTTCTGTGGGGTTCGAACTTAAGACCTATCAGTCTTGTGCATGAATGCTTAAGCTATTGGACCATTGAGTTGATATTCAATGGTATCAGGGTTTAATATCAATTAATCTATGAAATTGCGTGACCATAATTTATTAGAACTTCAATGTTGTATACAAATCTTTAATTATTAAATTATTGAAATAATTGGCATAGAATAGTGTTAATGAGATTCTTTAAAAGTGAGCATCTATGATCCCGATCTATGGGGTTCGAATTTAGGACCTATTAATTATTATTTATTTATTTATTTTAACACATAGATATTGGTACAAGGTGGCACCAAATATATATGTGTCACACAAATCTCATTTGATATGTGTGATGGCTGTGATACTGCCCGAGTGCCCAAACCGAACCAGGTGGTTACCTTAGGGGGCCACACCCCGAGCCTTCGACCTGAACGTCTAATCCACAAGACAGTGGAGCATCGTGAGGAGATGCAGTCCCATGGTGGCCGGTGGCCAGTGATTGGTTCATACGCCATTTATTCCATCAGGATACTGGAGGCAGCCCATGTGCACCATTGGTTTGGGATCCGGTTAAAGCCGATGCCGGACATTCGCATTTCGTCCTCTCATTTTCGTAAACAACACACGTGGTGCAAAAAGGCAGTGGGTAGGATTTCCCTGACAGTAGCTGTATACGTGTGGCTATGTGAGAGCATTTGGAGAGGGAGAGTGGACTCTCCACACTCTCGGTCATACCAGGGCATTTGGGGGCCTGTTAGTCTCATATGCGAACGATTAACATCTAGAACCATTGAGTTGGCTGGCATATAACGGCATTAATGTCTAAATTTAACAAATTTATGAAATTGAGCCATACGTCCAACATTATCTTTAGTGAGTTAGTATCTCACAACACACCTAATTGAACTCTATTGATCATGGCTTCTCATTAAAACACCGGGAAGTATCTATTGAAGCTATTCACAAGTGAACATATGATATCTATTATCATAAAGGGATTCTGTAGAGATTTTAGTAATATATTGGTTGAATTCATGAGTCGATTAAAGCTAGACCACCATGGAAAACCCGGAATCACTGTATGACTGTTTCGTCCCAGTATGAGACACTTCAACAGTTCGCATCCACAATCTCACTCACAGAATTTCAACTCAGGATCTATCGGTCTCATGTTTAACCTATAAAGCACTAAGTTGACATAATATTCTATCTATTTACTATTCATATTATTATATAGAATTTCATTAATTTCTATTGATTATTCTTTCTCATTTTCAATTAGATATCCCATCAAGCCAATTTAAGAGTATGGTATATTCTCTTATGGATTCTAGATGGTATATGGCATGGTGTTATAACATTTTTTATACCATTCTTTTGTTTAGCCGGTGGTAATCTATTTGCTGAAGCTAGTTTCTATGATACTACTAATAATAGTAATAGTCCTCATAAAATTTATGATTATACAATGATTGGTAATGCATCATTTGTATATTTATGGATTGCAGTAACATTACGTTCAACAATATGGACAAGAGATTTTAATCTTATGTTAATTATGTGTCATATTGGTACAACATTAAATGTTGTAATTTTATTTCTTTTTCAAGTAAGTGATATTAATCTATTACTTTTCATTTTGATTAGTAATATAATTCAAAAGGGTGAATATCAACTCTGAGATATGACAAGTACATCCGGCTGATGAGTCCCAAATACGACGAAACATCCGTCAAACTGGATTGTATTGCTTACTACTATCCATCTTTGATTATAGTACTTGTGACTTAAGGGAATATCGAGGCAATCCGTACAAGATGCACATATACCGATATGGGACTGATCAATTACAGTGTGAAACATCAATGGGAAGATTTATGTTAAACAATACCAAGTGAATGTAAACTTCATCCCATTGTACAAGCAAGTGATTGTTAGGAGTAAGTAGCTAATTGGATAGTGTGATAGTGTTCTAAGTGAACGATACTGAGTTCGAGTCCCAGAGTGAATATCAACAATTCTGAGATGCAGATACATTCATTTGACGAGTCCCAATTAAGACGTAATGCGCATCCTTTATTCCATTGCTAACCACTATCCATTTTTGCTTATGAAGTTTGTGACTTTAGGCAATATCGAAGCAATTTGCACAGGATGCACATATGCCAATATGAGAGACTGATCAAGTGCAATCCTAAACATCAATAGGAAGATTCAAGTAAACAACACTAAGTGAATAAAATATTTATAGTTTTAATCCTGTTGAACATTGAATGCACTTTGAGTGGATTATCTTCAAGACAGTTCCAATGACTTTATATAAGCATTCTTCTTGATGATAACTCTCAAAGACAATATGAAGCGTTAACTACCGTTTATTATTATACAGTGTAGATCATTAAGTTCTCAGTCAGTAAAAGCCAATTTGAGTAGCAATGCGAATGCAAAGGAATGTAAACAAGCGAGTACAGAGGGGAATAATGATGCGTATTAAGATTACATATATGAAAGTGATGAAGTTGTCCAACGATTTAACCATCTAATATATAAGCTAGGAAGATAGAGATGTACATGGGCTGTAACACATTTGATCAAGTACACATGTTTATACAGACACGATAATCATATCAAGAGATATAAATTAGTTATCATTTGAATGACATAGTATGATACATAAACGAATTGAAGAGCTTTATAGCAGCTGACATACATTTGAGTTTGTTCACATTGAATTTAGTTAAACCCTTTTGTTATCCGAACAATAACAACAACAACAACTTATCTATATCATTGTACCTTTTTTATTGTTACACTTGTATGAATATGTATGCACGAACATTTTGCTTACTTCCCATGTATAGATTCATTCGGCTAGCCTTACTATTAGTTGTTGAATTGAATCGATGATTTGTTCATTTCCCTATCTATCTATCTATCTATCTATCTATCTATCTATCTATCTATCCACACATCTATCTATCTATCCATCTATCTATCTATCTATCTATCTATCTATCTATCTATCTATCTATCTATCTATCTATCTATCCACACATCTATCTATCTATCTATCTATCTATCTATCTATCTATCTATCTATCTATCTATCTATCTATCTATCTATCTATCTATCTATCTATCTATCTATCTATCCACACATCTATCTGTCTATCCATCTATCTATCTATCTATCTATCTATCCACACATCTATCTATCTATCTATCTATCTATCTATTTATTTATGTACATTATAATCCAATTCATTCGACTCGCACGCTGAGTTGCTTTGCTTTTTGGCACTAGTTTTTCATTCTTCATTCGTATGCCTATAGTTTTGATGATCTGTGCATGATGTAATAATAAATGTGATCAACACTTGGTATTCGTCTTCTAATTTATACACCGTTGAAGGTATTATCTAGTAACGGTTATCAGGACGAACAGTATACAAAATTTAAGAATTTGATTGAATACTGACCACAATAGCTTGATGAAACGAAACGTAAAGATTTAAGTGTAGTTAAGACGTTGTAAACTTATTATCTCCTACTTTTGATGGAGTTTTGTTCTCTCAGCTGGATGGTTTGATCGTGGAGCTTTCATCGTTCTTCTTCTGAACGACATCATCCACAGCACAAACTTCAGATAGAAGTGAAGTGTTTGAATTTCTCCATATGTGTTTGACAGCTTGTTCTGTACACCCTGATGTTGATTGGTTCTTATTGACCTTCAATTTGTTATTGTTTACTTCTTTGTTTTGGTTGTGTCTCCTATTGGTTTGATTCTTATTCCTGATTGCTTGATAAATTGGATCAATTTCAATGTGTTTGTTGATTGCTGATTGACCTGAGTGTCAGGCTTCTAACAATTCTCTGGTATTTTTGGAATTTCTTCTGTCTAAGATTTGTACATTTTTCCAAACAAATGAATGTCCGCAGTTCTCCACGTGTATTGATATAAGTGAGGAGATATCACATCGCCTACTTTATTGCAACGACCTCACAGGAGTATTCAAAGTTTAAAAACCTCAGTTAGAAGATGGAACGGTAAGAAAAATGGTATGCTATAGGTTCTCGCTTACATGTTATCGAATATTCTGGTTAACAGCGTCAATTTTTGTAATGTTTTTGCTTGTTTCATAGCTTTTCTTCTAATTAATTAATAGTTTGATGTTGTTGTTACTCATTACTTAAGTGAATGTTAAGTCAGCCTAATGTAAACTCATACAAGTGAAACTTCCAGAATCTAGACTTGTTAAGTTATTCTTATTACGTTGTTTTTTTGGATCTTATTAACTTTTAAACAAAGATGGGGAGGTTTAGTACAGTAATCGGTATCTCAGATCATATTACAAAGTAATAATCAATCCGACATGTACACTACAAAATACTTACTTACTTACGCCTGTTACTCCTAATGGAGCATAGGCCGCCGACAACCATTCTCCAAACCACTCTGTCCTGGGCCTTCTTTTCTAGTTCCATCCAGTTCTTGTTCATTTTTCTCATGTCTGTCTCTATTTCCCGGCGTGATGTGTTCTTTGGTCTTCTTCTCCTCCTTCGACCGTGAGGATTCCATGTGATGGCTTACCTTGTGACACAGTTGAGTGCTTTCCTCAATATGTGTCCTATTCACTCCCAGTGCTTTTACTGATTTCTTCCTCCTTTGAGATATGGTTTGTTCTCTCCCACAGCAGGTTGTTGCTGATAGTGTCTGACCAACGGATCGGAAGTATTTTGCGTAGCCAACTGTTAATAAACATTTGTATCTTCTGGATGATGGTTTTCGTAATTCTCCAGGTTTCCGCACCATACAGTAGAACTGTGTTGACATTCATATTGAAAATTCTGACCTTGGTGTTGGCTGCCCTTTTTTTTTTGAGTTCGAGATGTTCTTCAGGTGTAAATATGCTACTCTTGCTTTTCCGATCTATGCCTTCAAATCTGCATCAGATCCACTGTGTTCATCAATGATACTGTCCAGATATGTGAGGGTTTTTACATTTTCCAAATCTTCTCCGTCAATTGTGATTGAATTGGTGCACTCTATGCTGTATCGGAGAATCTTGCTTTTCCATTTGTGTATGTTGAGACCTACTGCTGTCTCTCTGGCCGTGTTCTCCTTTATTTGTTGTTGCGTGTGCGATAGAAGAGCCAGGTCATCAGCGAAGTCCAGATCATCCAGCTGCATCCTAGATTTCTACTGTATCCCATGCTTCCCATCAGATGTTGACGTCTTCATGATCCAGTCGATCACCAGGAGAAAGAGAAAGGGTTAGAGTAAGCGACCTTGCCTGACACCGGTCTTTAATCCACCATAGGAATTCCGTATGATATTGACTATCTTCTGAGGCACGCCGTAGTGTCGAAGAAGCTTCCATAGGGTTGGTCTGTCCACGCTGTCAAATGCTTTTTCGTAGTCGATGAAGTTGATGTAGAGTGATGAATTCCACTCAACTGATTGTTCGACAATGATCCGTAGAGTTGCGATTTGGTCTGCACACGATCTATCGTTACGGAATCCTGCCTGTTGGTCGCGAAGTTGGTCGTCTACACTACAAAACAGAGACAGTTAAAATAATGTTTTATGCAATGATTTTGTTGTTGTTTATGATTTTACTGCATCAAAAGACTACTTCAATATGAGAACTCTTAGAATTCATACAACTTAACAAGCATCCAACAAACCTATAGTAATTGAAATATAGAATAACTGCCTCATAGTAATTCGTTCAAGGTTATTGAAACAAAATGTCAGGCATATTTGAGTGAGCAGACCATTTTCTATCGTCCCTAGATGGCCATTTCGTCCTGCTGTCGAACTCCTCAGCAGTGTGAATCCACGATCCTACACTAAAAGGACTCAAACCGAAGATTTTCGGTCTCATGGATGAGGAGTCACTTAGGTGAACGAAACAGCTATCCAATGCTTCCAGGTTGTTCATGGTGATCCAGCTTCAATTGACGCATGAATTTAACTATTAACTGAACAGAGATAAGTATCAGAAGGGGTTTTGTGGACAACATAGCAATGACAACATATGAATTCATGAGTCAATTGAAGCTAAATCACTATGGGAAACCTGAAAGCACTGAATGGCCGTTTCGTCCCTGTATGAGACTCCTCATCAATGTGCATTTAAGATCCAGCCTCACAAAATGCCTCGTATATGCGAACTGCTGATGAGTCTCATACTAGGACAAAACGAACTTCCAATGCTTCCAGATTTTTCATGATCAACTCATGAATTCTATTATTAACATTACTATAATCAATAATTCATTCAACACTATAAATAGTTGCTATTTGGCTCCAATATTTTATAATAAAATTTTATTGATGGATTTTTCTATTTTTTAAAAAGATTTAACTAAAATTCAAACTTTCAAATCAATTAACGGGTTATTTTACAAATAAATAGATACAAAAATTTTATTACAGACATAATAGTGAAGATATGTGGATGAATGTTGCCATGGTAACTATGGATGATTCATAATTAATTAATATGAATTATAATTTAGTTGGAGTGTGAGAATTTACAGTTACCAAGTAGGTTAATAGTTTACCAAGTAGTTTAATGTTATAAACAAAGATGGATAGTGATTAGCATTGGAACCCTATTCGACTCACGTTTCATCCTATGTGGGATTCATCAGTTGAATGTATCTGCATCTCAGAATTGTTGATATTCACTCTGGGACTCGAACCCAGTATCGTTCACATCAAGCACTGTCACACTGTCCAATTAGCTACTTCTATTAATTAATTGCTTGTGCAATACAGTGATTTTTAAATTCACTTGGTATTGTTTAACATGAATTTTCCTATTAACGATTAAGATTGCAATTGATCAGTCTCGTATTGGTATATGTGCATCCTGTACGGATTGCCTCGATATTGACATAATTTACAAGTATTATAAGCAAAGATGGATAGTGGTAAGCAGTGTAATCCAGTTTGACGGATATTTCGTCCTATATTGGACTCATCAGCTGGATGTATCTAAATCGCAGGTTCATTGGTATTTCTAATCTGATTATGTTATAATTTATACTTGATTAACTGAATAATTAAGATGGTTTCAGGATTATTTGACAAAATTCCATTCAATGTTATTACAATTGAGTGATATCTTAGAAAGACTAGTTTAGTTTTTATATGCAGATTATATTAATCTTGGCAAAATCGTGTGCTCATTGGAGATTTACTTGAAGAAAGAGTTTTTCTTTGTGTTCCGAATTCCTATCACAGTTATAGATGTTACCGTGAAGCTATTAGAACCTCAGATTGTAAACTATGCTGTAATGGGCTGGAATCTCTATAGTGGGGATTAATTCCTTCAACATTGTATGTAGGTGTATCTTGTTACTGTAGAGTGCTAACTATCGAGAAATCTAAGTATAGAACTTTATAATGATCATCTCTTACCACTTAAATTCTAAATATAAAGCAAATGATTTCAAGTCTCTTGTACTAGGGGTTACAATACAACTCAATCAATTAAATTCAATCAATACTAACGACTAAACAAGCAGTGCGTTTATCAGTACTGACTAATCATTCCCTATGAAGATGAAGATCCCGTAGTTTTAGCAAGCAAGCAAGCAATCCTTATTGTATTGGTTCAGTTATGTCTAGAGTAAGAGAGTGAACACAATTGACTATAAATGAATAATGCCATCATATAACTATTTAAGTGAAATCAAAACTATGAACCGTAAGATCCTAATTTGTAGTAAGCAATCATGGATTATGGCTAGCAGTGGAATCCAGGACACGCGTTTCGTTCTATTTGGGACTCGTCAGCTGGATGTACCTGCATCTTAGAGTTGATGTTCACTCTCGGTCTCGAACCCAGTACCATCCGCTTCAAACGCTATCTCGTTATCCACTCAGCTACCGAGTCCTCATAGCCACTTGCTTGTGCAATGGGGTGAACTTAAATTCACTTGGTATTGTTTGGCTTGTATCTTCCCATTAAGGTTTGGAAGATTATGCTATGCAACTAATCAGATATGTGAATTCATGCACAGAAGTTATCTTTCGATTAACTTGATGAAACAATAATAACAGTCATTTGAGTAACAAACATCAGGTTCAGTTCAACTTCCATGGTCCTTTTATAGATGATCAGTTAGTTGTACTAATTCAGTGAACAAAATGTTATAGACCTAGTGAAACCTCCTGAAAGTAATGAAGTCTCTCATATATACATATATATCTATACTCTAAGATATTTCTTCAGAACTATTTAACTTTATCTGTTATGGTGATGGGATCGCTTGTAATTTTTGTTTTTTTGTTTATACTTATATGGTAATTATTATCATCTTGAAAGTTAATCTTAAGTTTTACCTCATATAAAAGTTTCTTGAGATAAGATGATGGTTGGAGGTAGTCAAATTCTATTAACCAGGGTTTCCTATCGGTTACATTCAATAACCATCTAATCTCAACATAGTGCATGTAAGGTTGAGTCACCTAGACTGGTAGCTATATTTCATCTTGGTCGATAACATTTGATCTACACTAAAAAAGATCTGATATACATGACATTGATCACCAACCAGTGATCAATCAATTGTATATAAACGTTTCCATAATGCAAAATAGGAATTTCTCCTATTCTAATGAGATCTGATCACAGTAACCATTGTAAGTATAGAACGACAAGGAATCGATTTGTTTTACCATTGGAATTTATACTACAGTGAGGATCTCATCTAGATGGAAGAATAATCTATGATATATTAACAGTGAATTCATTATTCAGCTCATAGTGGAACACTTCTTAATGTATGTTAGAACAAAGAAGATAAATAGATGCTTTCATAGGACAGGTTAAAAAACATATTCCATCATTTCAGTTCCTACTAGTTAACTCTGATCTAGAATACCTGCTTTATAATTAAATTAGATAACAAGAACACTGTTTGATATATATACAACATTCTAAATATTACTATTTAAGTTCTGAAATGGCTTAGAAAGCGTCACAAGACCAAGAAACATTTTGAATTGCCCATTGTTTTATGAATATTCTTTACTGTAATTTCTATTTCTCCTGGTAATCGACTGGATTATGGAGAGGTCAATATCTGGGGAAAATCGTAGGATACAGTCAGCAGTTGGGATGCAGTTGGACGATTTAAACTTTACAGATGATCTGACTCTTCTATCGCACACGCAACAACAAATACGGAAGAAGACGACCAGTGTAACAACAGCCTCAACAGTAATAGGTCTTAACATACACAAAGGGAAAAGCAAGATTCTCCGATACAACACAACATGCAACAATCGAATCACACTTGACGGAGAAGATTTGAAGGATATAAAAACCCTTTACATATCTGGACAGCACCATTGATGAGCATCTTGGATCTGATGCAGATGTGATGCGGATCAGCAAAACAAGAGCAGAATATCTACAATTGAAGAACATCTGAAACTAAAATCAACTGTCTGTCAACCAACACCAAGATAAGAATTTTCAATATAAATGTAAACACAGTTCTACTATATGTTGCGGAAACTTGGAGAACTACGAAAGCCATCACCCAGAAGATACAGGTGTTTACGCACAATATTTCGGATCTGTTAGCCAAACACCATCAGTAATAACCTACTTTGGGAGAGAGAACAAACCAGATTCCAGCGGAGGAAGAAATCAGGAAGAAGCGGATGGGAAGTGAATAGGACACACATTGAGGAAAGCACCGAACTGCGTCACAAGGCAAGCCCTCACTTGGAATCCTCAAGGCCAAAGGAGGATGAAAAGACCAAAGAACACATTACGCAGATAAATGTAGACAGGCATGAGAACAATGAACAGGAATTGGATAGAACTAGGAAGGAAGGCCCAGGACAGAGTGGGTTGGAGAATGGTTGTCGGCAGCCTATGCTCCATTGGGGTAACCGGCGTAAGTAAGTAAATAAGTAATTTACCATTCTTTATAATCAGTGACGTTAAGTAAAGGAATTTCCCTATTTTATAGTGATATGAGACATCAGAATAAAAAGTTTATATTGCGACACTTTAGCCAGGATTTATTCCTAATGACCATGGATTTGTTCATTACATAACATTGCTTAAATAGCTCATTAAGTGTTCTTTATAGGATCTACATTTAAAGTATCCTGAAGGTTTTTCGTCAGGTGCATTTAGCCTTAATTAATTAAAAATAAATGAGAATCTACAGTGTTTTACTAACAGAATACTTACATTCTAACGACATTACTACTTTAAACTAACGTTTATTTTGTAAATCTTTATCCCATCTTGATTACATAGACATTTGTTCCTTCTACAAGTAATGAATATCAAAGATATGCTCAATTATGTCGAAGTCCTGCATTTTGGTTCACATTCCCATTAACTGTTTTTATAGCTAATATTCCAGGATTAATTTGGCGTTTAGCCTCAGATACATGGTGGACTATACGTATTGAATTGAAAAATTTACCTAAAAAAAATAAACGTAAATCTTATTTGAATAATCCATTAGTTTGGTTAAAAGCATTTGTTTATGGTCAAACTGAAGAGAATGAATCAATCCTCCAGAAAAATGAAAATCATATAAACACTTTTAAAGAACAAATAAATCATAGTTACCAGTCATAAAACAAGTTTTTATTATTGTTACTAATTATTGTTACTATGTGCATCCCTTGGATACAAAGCAGAATTAGTTTTTGTAAAACATGTGAACTATTAACATCTAAACAAAAGATTGATAACCTTCATCTACATGTTTTTCTATTTCATTTTGTAACTAAATACTATAAATATACTTTCATTTCTTTATAAAGTGCAATAATTTAAAGGTAAATTGTGACATAAATTTCGGTTAAACTATTTGCCTACTCATAAGTAAGCAAACTTTTATAGAAAAATTATTTGTCGCTTACCTTCATCATTATTGATACATGGTGTGTACAATGTGAATGATTATATGAATCATCCTTGTATCTTTGATAAATTACAAAAAGTGTATGTTTCTACGACGGTTAACATTTACCTATATATAATAATTGTGCAAAATCTATATTGTATGCATTGCTAGAATATGAATGGTTTTGTTTGTATCGTATTATGATGTACCGAATTTCAACAATATCGTGACCAAGTCATATATTGATACGATTATTATTGTCAGCTGATTCTGATCATGTTTACCAGACTTCAAAAAAAAACAACTCAGAATAAAACGTTTATCCATTTTAAAATAGCTGACCGATAGTAGTTTTATTTTTGTTTTAAATCAAGCGCTCTACAAAGTTTTCGTTATCACAATGACGTGTGTGACTGAGATATATCTCATTTCGAATTATATTGAATGAGTTAAATTAATCTACCTAAAAAGAAATCAATTTAATACAGAATCATGAAATTCCAATTTCACGGATGTATTATGGTAAAATGTCTCCTGATAACGGCCACTAAAATTGTTTCAAGACTGACCTAACCGATCACTGTAATTCAAATGTCAATTTTCATAAGCGACGTTTAGTCAAATTACCACCTCAGTCATAATGTTATGGTTTAAAACAATTTAATCATATTAACATAAATTATTACTAAATCGAGATCACAGAACTGTACGACAACTCAACATTGCTAGTTCATGAAATAAGTGAACCCCGTAATTTATACTGTATAGATCAAATTCACTAGTTGATGGGTATAGCAGCATTCCATTTACATGTTGGGTTTCCGACGAAAACTATGAAGTCAGGTGACATGAAGAATATTTCAGGTATGTTTAAAGGCTCAACCTTGAATATGAATGGTGATAATGGATTATAAAAATTTAGGGTGATCCTTAGCAGGAGGAACTATACCAACCAGATTGTGAGTTTTTGTGCAAAACATTGGAATACAATCATATGCATGAACATTAAGGTGGGAATATCCAATTCATTGTTTAATGCACAACCACGCAGTGGTTCATTAAAATATGAAGACCATACATTGAATACTTTATTTGAATATCTGTCAGTTGTCCCTCACAAATTAATCAATCCTTTTTGTTATTATAATTAATTTCTGTTTATATTACTACCTTTTTCGATTCGATCTCCTCGTAACTTCTGCTGCCAGATATTCAACTTCTGACTGGTGTTACATACTACTTGTAGTTGTCAACATAAGTAGCGTACACCACAAGTCTATAAAGAAACCAAGCGCATAAATATGCTCAATACTTTTAACGACCTGTTGACCTCCACGCATACGAGATTTATGGATCTTAAAACATATCGTAAAGTAATTTCATCATATCAACTACAATAAATCGCAAGTTTAGAAGTAGTTCAATGTGGAGCACGTATAGTCACAAACTTCAGAGACTGTAGTAGTATGATCAATAGAATTATTCAAACTGATTTGCTAACTAAGAATTCACGTAATTTAAAGCAATGTAAAGCTAGGTGAGCAAAACTGAACGTATTATATTTGAGATTCGTAGAAAGCGCGCAATCAACTACAAAGGAATCCTTAGTTAGTGTTAAAATCACAGTCGCCGCGGCTTAAATGAGAACCCAGATTTCTGTAATGTATTGTACATCTTTTCTTTAGGTCTGTCATATGTATGTCAGGCTGTATATTGGATAAACTTTGAATAATCCATGATGTACACATCAATGCTAGAGTTAACAATGGAAATCGATATGTGCTTACCTGGGTCATTGTGACGTATACGGCTTTTGTGTTTGGCTTGCATATGTACACTAGATTTATTAAAGGATTTTGGCAGACCTTTAGTAGACCGCGAAAAATTAGTTTCTCGATAGTATGCGACACCAAAAAAAATGTGACTTACACATTTTCTTGATGAACGGATTTTGCTTAAGCACACTACCTAGTCTCTTATTAGGACGAAATGGCCTTACAGTGCTTCCATGTTTTCGATGGTCGTTTAGCTTAAATGGACTTCTGAATTCGATTTTTAAGATTATCACAATATCCAAAAACCCTCATTTTGACTTTATTATTGTTTTTATTGCATAATTTTGCGCAAAAGATTTCACCTAATTGTGTCATTTGTGCTAACCGATGAATCATTTATACTTGATCTAGCGCTTGTTACGAATTTTCAAATGTGATACATCCATTCTTGTTCATCTAGTTTTACTTGCCTTAAATTGCACTACCTCTAGAATTTTTAGCTGGCAAACCAGTTTGAATACTTCTAGTTATGATAACGACGACGTGATGGGGCCTGTTACTGAAAAGATGGATATACGTTCAAATTCTGAAGCTTTCGAGGAAAACATTGAAAGGTTTGAAGGCTGAAGTATGACCAGGAAAGATAAGTATGGTAAAATTGTGACTCATTTACTTACATCAATCAAAAAAGATGCCTACAGCTTACTAAAAAATGTGGCATTTCTAGATAATACTATTTCACTTCATTATGAAGTGCTCAAAGACCTCTACTAAATCATGTAAACTGTACAAATTCTGAATGACGTGAAAGAGTGAAATTTCATAAAGCGGCTCTTCAAAATAACCGAAAATTTAATGGGTTTATGTGGTGTTTGAATGAACTAATAACTCCTTTGTACTTGCTGAATGCCTGATTTCGAATTCTAAATACAATACATTCGTTCGTGCTTATCTAGTAGTTCTTGATCCACTCACGTGATTTCTGGGATTATTAGTTCATACTATAATTCAAATACTTCTAATTATCATATCGGCGTCGCGATGGGGCCTGCGATGGAACAGTTAGATATTCATTCGGATTTTGATGCTTATGAGGATTACTTTGAAAGGTTCGAAATCTGGGCTATGAGCAAGGAAGATGATGAGAATATTAATATTGTGGCACATTTTCTCACATTCATCGGAAAAGAAGCATATAGCTTGATAAAAATTTTGGCTTTACCGGAAAAGTCCATTTTTCTTCCTTATACAACTCTCAAGGAACTACTTCTATACTATGCTAAGTATACAAATTTCGAATGCGGTAAAGGGAGATTTCGTAAAATAATTCATGAGGATATAAAAAATTCCACTACATTACGTCACCCCATCTCAGTGCATACTCAAGATTATGCAGATAATTCATTTAGGAATTGCGATGCAGTTCACGAAGATAGGCACAAGTTTGGTCAATGTTTGTGCTGTGGCAGGTTCCACTCTTTTAATTTGTGGTGACCTACTTTTGTCAACAGAACGCGATTGGTTCGATGAAAACAATTATTATTATAACCAATTGTACCAGTGATTGTTTTATTGTGCTCGTTTGTTTAACTGTGCTAATGACAGCCATTATACTTACTCTCCCGTTGACTTTGAACTTGTACGAATCCGGTTACGCTCAGTAACCACACTTGTACTCCTTTGGCACGATCTCGGTATTCTTTCGATACCACGAGATCGCCAACAAATACATCTCGACTACAGCCATCATCAGTCTTCTGATTTTTGGCCTACCGGAATCTTATTGGTCTATTGGCACGTAGTCTTGTAGCGGTGTTCATAGTCAAGCTCAACTCGACACCACGCTACATTTGGTGAGCCAAATATTGGAACACGCCTCAACCTCGGTCAAATCTTTCAAAAAAGGCAATTCGGTGAGTCTATTGTTTTATCTATCCACGTCTGTCATATATTTTCATATTAATTTTTAATATATAATATATTTGACATGACGGATAGCGATAAGAATAGTATTAATATAATAGACTCCGATGTACGCGTACCGAATCCTCGGCACTTTTTATTCGCGTGACGATAAATCCCACGCCTTATTCGAGAAATTCCCCAGAATAACTAAACCACTCGAGGAGATTTCATCGGTGACCGATCGTGTGGTACACCACATAGTCACCCGCGGACCACCAGTCACGGCAAGACCACGCCGACTGGCACCGGACAAATTAGCCTTCGCTAAACGTGAGTTCGACAATTTACTATCTGCTGGTATTATTCGTCCTTCTCACAGTCCTTGGGCCTCTCCTTTACACATGGTGCGCAAAAAGGATGGGGTTAGTTGGAGACCATGCGGCGACTACCGAGCATTAAACGTAGTTACGCGCTTTGATAGTTACCCCATCCCCCACATACACGACATCACGGCATCGCTCAAGGGCACGACTATCTTTTCTAAAATCGATCTGGTACGAGCATATCACCAGAACCCAGTCGCTCTTGAAGACATCGAGAAAACTGCTATCACGACTCCTTTCGGTCTGTTTGAGTTCTTACAAATGCCATTTGGATTACGGAGTGCTGCTCAAACTTTCCAAAGGTTTATCGATAGCATAGTACGAGACTTGGATTTTGTTCACGTCTATATTGATGACCTGCTGATCGCATCATCAAACGTAGATGAACATTATCAACACCTTACGCTATTATTCCAACGTCTTTCGGATAATGGAATAGTAGTCAACCCAGAGAAATGTGAATTGGGTAAATCAGAAATAATATTTCTGGGTCACATCATCAAACAAGAGGGTATTCTGCCTTGCGAGGACAAAGTTCGAGCAATCAAGGAGTACAACGTGCCGTCCTCAATCAAGGAACTGAAGGCTTTTCTCGGTTTGGTTAACTTCTACCGACGTTTTATCCCTCACGCGGCAGAACGGTTACGACCATTAACCGATTTACTACGCGGTAATCCACGCAAATTAGAATTGAACGATACCGCACGTACTGCATTCTCAGAGATCAAAACGGCTCTCGCTGAAGTTACACTCCTCGCTCATCCTGACCCATCAGCCACGCTTA